AGCTGGCGACCCTGAGCCTCGGCCTGCAGCCCCCACAGTCTCCCACCCAGGACACTGCTGCTCCTTCGCCTGCCTTGTGTTCTCACTGCACCACCATCCGGGGCAGATGCACCCGTTCTGCGCTTCTTCTCACTGGCCTGTGCTCCGTCCCCTCAGCCCCCACCCCACTCGCCTGGGGGCCCAGTTAACTCTCCGGACAGCCCACACGTGACAGGGCAGGAGTCTGGGGCAAGTGTACCTGTCCCTGGAGGAAGGACATGGAGGACAGTGCCCACAGCATCTTGGCGGGTTCCACAGGATGGAGCCCGGGTGTGCAGACGGCTCTGTTCCCCCGCCTCATCTCCTCACTGCCCTCCAGGCTTCAGGGACACACACCCGCGATGCTGTGGGCTTTGCACCATCCTCCCTGCTCCCAGCTCAACAAGACGCTCCTGCTCCCAGCTCTCTCAGATGGGTGGACAGACAACAGCAGCCAGGCCCTGGCAGGCTTAGCGCTCCTGCTCTTACGCACAGCGCCTCTCCCCGTGCCTGCTGGTCCCATTCCCTCCTCTGCTGGGAGCCCACAACCCCAGGCTCCAGGGCCCCCGCACCAGCAGACTGCACCCCACCTCCACCACAGGACGGGCTACAGGTCAGGCGGGCACCAGGCCCCCTCCAATGACCACCAGGGTGGGATCCCTCCCCAGGGTGCCAGGTGGCAGCACTGCACCTCCCGGACAATTCCTGCTCCATCACCAAATCCCTTCCAAGCCAGGGTCCCGACACGCGCATCAGAACACCTGCAACCCGGCGCCCGGCCAGCCGCTCCACCTGGTGCCCCCTCCCTTCCACCCTGCAGAGCCAGCGGCTGCCCTGTGGCCTGGGCCGGGAGCCCCATCTCCTGTCACGTGCGGGCGGGAGAGCCGGAGTGGGCGCCCAGTCCTCACAGAGGGAGATGCAACCCCCGCGAGAGCAGACTGTGGGTTCAGGGGGACAGGAGCCTCCCGGAAACATGAGACCCGGAAGGGCCAGCCCCAGGCGCCCTGGGTGACGCTCTGAAGCTGCCTGGGGTCAGAGGAAGACAAAGTGCTGTGCCTGCAATGGGAAGGGCAGGCACCTGGTGGTCTGAGAATGTTCCAGAACCCAGCCTGCCCAGGCCAGCCCCACCCTGTTAAAGGTACCTGTGTCCACACACATTTGCATGTCGTTAAGCAGCCTCCCTGGTGGAGATGGTTCCCTGGCGTTTTTCTCTACAATTTCTCTAATATGTGACTCCCGGTGCCCTCTGGTCCTCCACAACCAGAGCACGAATGTGAGGGGGCTGACAGGGTCAGGGCCAGAGGACCCCAGGGCTGCTGACCCAGTGGTCTCTCCTCCCTGTGCCTGGGTCTCAGGGCTGACCGCTGCCTAGCTCCGCCTGGCACCGGGGCCCCCGGTCATACCCACTGCCCCGGGCGAGACGGCTCATGCTGGACGGCCCACACCCACCAGCTGCCTGACTGCACACGCGCCACTAGCCCACGAGTGCTGGAGACCCGTGTGAAGTGTGGTCACTAAGTCAACGCTGAGCCCCGGGGGGACGTCTTAGGGTGTGGGGAGGGGAGAGATGGGGAGAGGAGGGGTTTGGAGAGGAGAAGGGGGTTGGGAACGGGTGCCACCAGCTGGGGGCGGCCCCCAGGGCTTCCTGGAGAAGGAGGCTCCCAGTGAAGGCCATAGCTATGAGGTGCGCTGCCCCGGGACCAAGCCCAAATGGCTGGTTATGAGGACGCGATGCCCCAAGATGGCGACCGGCCCCCACAGGCGCCACCCAAGGCCAAGCTGTCTCCTCAGCTGCACGGCGGCCGCTTCCCCGGAACGGCCAGGGCGGCTTCAGACAACCGCAAAGCGGGCTTCGTGTCTGCACACACAGCTCAAGAACCGCGAAGAAGGGCTCACCTCCACGGCCGCCCAGCGGTGCGCGCGGAGGCTTCGGGCCGCCCTGGGCCGTCCTCCAAGCGCCAGCGGCTCCGCTCATCCCCGTGACAGCTGGGACACTGCCGGGCCGGCCACGCGCCGAGGGCGCCCGACGCACGACACACGCAGGCGAGTCGGGGAGAGCAAGCTCTGCGCCCGGGGCCTGCCCGGCTGCCTCGGGGAGGAGACAGAAGGCGAGCAACTGAGTGGACCCCGAGAGAGCGCACCTGTAGGCCCCACGGCGGTGGGGGTAGGGTCAC